AAACAGCTGCTAGGTGGCCGAGCTGATGCCACAGAGAGCAGAGTGTATGCACCCTGGCGACATTTGTTAGCAGCTGGCCTAAATCGTGCGCCTGTTGCCACACATGTAGCAGTTGGTGGCACGTCCAGTTGCAAATTAGAAACAAATTTGTTTAATTCAATAAAAACATTGATTCAATGAGATAAGAGAGGGAGAGATAGAGATAGAGAGGGTCAGTGATACAGAGCAAATAAGAGCAAATGATATAAAATATTTGCTATTCGTAGTGCCCTCTATTTGCTGCTGCAGCTGCCTCGCAGCATGGCAAATGTGTTGCATGCCTTTCGGGGCGCTCATGCAAAATAATTACTTAAAATATCATGCCTTTTTCACCCGATATTATTTTAATTTCAAAGTTCTTGAAAGCATAGCTAAACGTGCTCCCTCTTTCCCAGTCTCTACCTCCTTACAGCTATTGCGCTCTCTCTTTCTCACTCTCTCTATCGTCCCCTAAACCCTGTTTTTTGGTGGCCATAACAAAACATCACAAAATGCAACCAAAATAAATGCCAAAACTTTTTATTGTTTTTGTTGTTTTTTTTTTTTTTTTTTATTTTTGATGTTGCTGTTTATGGCTGCATTTCATTTTTTACTTCGTTTTGCTCTCTGCCATTGAAAGCATTGAGGCTGTGGGGGGCGGGGGCCAGAGATACACACCAACTAGCCGCCAAAGAAAGTCAAAAAATGCAGCGAGTGTGTTTGCGGCCGAGTATGTATTTGTGTGTATATGTGTTCGTTGGGAAGTCTGCCTGGCACAACAATTTCCGGCAGCTGGTTTTCCACAGAAGCGAAAGTAAAACTGCTGCGGCTTTAATACATTTTATTTTATGTGGCGCCAACAAGTATGCTACAGTTTTTCATATCCAACGCTTTAATTTGGCAGCGACCCCAACGCCATTGTATGCATAATTTTCTGGGTGAGAATAGATAAAAATTAATAACGCAATTCGCTAGAAATGTTGTCAAAGGCACATGCACACAGACTCGCACACACAGTGCCCAGCGACTAGCCAATTTGATGCCAAAGCTCGTTCACGTACGCCGGTTCAAAAGGCGCGTAATTAAAATTTAATTAGAACAGGAAAATTAGACTATGAAATTCCAATAACGCGCCAACAGCTTGTAAAGAGCTGCGGACATCCGAGGAAGGGAAATTGTATACATCAGCAGGAGAATTAAATAAAAGCAAAGTAAATTAGTTAAATTTAATGTGAAAATCCTTTGATTAAAACCAGTCAAGTATTTACATTAGCAAGTATTAAGAGAATAACGGAAAAGAAAAAGTCAGAAATTGAGAGGCAAAAGGGGCTCTTTACACCGCGCTCAAATACGTTGCGTACATAACAAACTCGCACGCGCACTCTCGGCTACAAAAGCCAAACACAGGGCAAATAGGACGACATATTCTAATACAGCCAACCCCTCCCTAAATCCGTTGTGTATCCCAGGCGCATACCCAAGGACATGCGAGCGTTCCAGGCGGTATGCCCCTGACAGCATAGCATAAATTGTCAAAAGGAAGACAACGGATTACGTTGCGTGTATTTGTTCTGTGTATGTATGTGCATGGGAGTTCGTGTCTGTGTGTGTGTGTGTGTTATATAGATGTATAAGTATTTAACGGACTATCGATGTTAACGATAGTTTCAATATAATATCTTAAATTTTGATAATATCGATTGAACAAGTCACATTTCTAATTTTAATTTGTTTTTGCTTGAACATTTGCCATATGAAAATAAGATTGAATTGATTTATTGGCCCTCAATGCCATAGAATATATTTTTTGTTTATGTTATAATTTCTGTTTATGCCATAATTTTAGAAGCTTCCTCTATCGATAGTTGCATTGCACCCTCAAGTCTGACCTTGGCAGCAAGTCAAATAGTAGAGCAGTAAACTTCTCAGCTGTCAAGTGGTGCTGAAGGTCAACTGTTGGCGAGCTATTCGACATGGACTCTGCTCGGCTAGCAGCTGTTGCCAGTGGCCACTGTAGTTGTGAATTGTAGTTCCCACCTGCGGCAGGTGGAGCTCTATTTATTTATTCGCATTTAAATCTGATTTATGTGCGGCAAAAGACGACAGCTCTGCGCACGCCCCACTATCCCCGCCGCTCCATCCGGCAGCATGTGGGGAGCCGCGTGAGATGCATCTTTAATTTAGTTGGGCTCCTGCACACGCCCCAGCGTTTACCGCAAATGCATCTTCAATGAATTTCTCACCTTAGCTCCGGGAGCATTCGAAGCACTAGGAGCACTTGGCAGGCAACGCATCAGCTGGTTAAGGCACGATTAATGTGGCATGGGGAAAATGAATCTCTTAAAGTGCGAGTGCCACTAGCCAGCGGCAGAAGTAGTTGCTGCACATGCTTCAAAACCTAATGAATTTTCCTCAACGAGGGAAATTGCCGAAAAAGTAAATCGCCTCGAATGGGCTTACGGCGCACTTAAATCAGTTTGGGCGCTATCAAATTTACTTGCCAGGAAATGTTTCTCCTTTTTTTCTGCTGCCTCCCATAGCAAGCTGCCTAGCAACTTTACATACATACACAGATGCACACACGCGCTAAGGCAATCTGTTATCGCATTAACAATTTCATACTAATTTCGGCAGCCCATACACACTCGTACACACTCACATACAACTACTTGTTCACCACGAAGTAGGAAATATAATTAAATTGCGTGCCTCAGCGACGTTGCAAGGATGCCTGCGTCGCCGCTGGTGGCAGGATATGTATAAGCTCTGGGGCAGACGTTGTAGTAAACTAAGCGTAATAGCAAATAATTTCATTAAAAAAGAGCCATCCCAGCTAACCACGCATCCCGGCCCATGAATATAATTTCTCCAACATGAGCAGCAGCCACAACGATAAACTAGGCAACGAGGCATACAAATCCAACTGTAGGCGAATAATTCCCACTTGTGTTTAAGTAATTATGCCAGCAAATCCCAGAGTTGTGCAAAAAATCACAGCTTACACATGTTTGTGCCAGTGTGTGTGCGTGGGTGTGTGTGTATCCCGCTGTGTAGCAATAGGAAAGAGTAAGCTCCACGCAGCGGAATCAAATGTACTACATATATTTCTACCAAAAAACTGTGCTTAGATTGTGGGTTAAAAAACACGAAATCTGTAGTATATATAAATATATATGGTATGCCACATATATTGAAGTATGGAATATGCTTCACTACTCTTATTCATTTATTGCAGTTGCCTGCAGAGTCGCTTTGCACGTATCTAGTATAATCGAAAACGAAAGGCTCCGTAGCAGTGGAGCTTTTAAATTATTCGCGCTATGCAAGCATAGCAGAGAATCAGAGTGACAGAAAGCACTGTTCGAGTAAATAATCTAATAGAAAATAAATATTTTCTTGAAATCATTGAAAAGGACTGCTGTCAAGCTACCGATGAAGCTTCATCACAATCACCAATGAATAATTTTATGATAATACGAAAGCCAACATTACTTACCTCAGCTTAATCGTAAATCTGGAAAAATCTGAAATCAAGCCTACAAATTAGTTTGAGGTGGAAGTATACATATAAGTACATATAAAAAAGTGAAAATAGTCAATAGCTTTATTTGATCTAAATTGCAATATCTGTATTTGCTCGGAATAAAATTAACACGGGTCTATTCCAACAAAATGTGACGATTGACAATTGACAGTTTAACTGTGTCAAAAGGCCATTGCTTAACGTGTGCACTCCATCAACATAAATCACTCATACGTCACGTTAAACACGCTCAAAGTCCAAAATGACGGCGCCTTTACCAGGGGCGGGCGTGGCTGCCTGCGGGTAGACATGGCCATAAATTAATTAAAGCTGCCACATAAAGGAGGCAAGTTGAGAATTGGGATCGTGTAAGCTGCTATTAAACTGTAAACGCGAATGGCGAACAACGGCAACGGCAATGGCAACGGCAATGGCAACAGCAACAGCAAATTACAACCATTTACAATTAATTTGAACAACACTTGCCATGCAAATTGCGTGCCATGGCTCATAATTTTGACCGGTCACACACACAGCTCAACAAGCGCAGACAAACACCACGCACACATATAGACACACACACATACACACACAAATAAGGACGCGCAGAAAAAAAGTCATCGCTGGTATTTAAAAAGGGGGCAACGTGCAAACACTCAATTAGCATATCAATAAATCAAGAAATAGTGTTGCCAGGGCCAAGAATCAACTCAACTCCCTTTGCGAGACGCCCCCTGCTGGCTGGTAATCAAAATTTAGTTAACAACGGCAAACAATTTATTTACTTGGCTCGAACGCCACTTGCCAGTCCGTTGGCTGACTCTGACCTTGTGTTGTTGGACGCCAACGCTGCGTATGCGTGATGCTTGCGTGCCACCAATATTAATCATGGCCATGGACGGCGTCATCGATGTCCTACCGCTGGCCAAGGTCTTGGCCTGTACTTGTGCCCATCTGACCTGGCCCAGTGCTTGTTTGATTGAAACGCCCATAAATTAGAAGACGTCCTTTGTGAATAGTTCAAATTATTTTTGGCCTTTGCTGCTGCCTGCCAATTAAAATATTTGCCAGAGCGATAGACTCATCGCCCCGTCTGTCTATCTGCCCAATCAAATGTAAATGGCACGCACGCTAATTGGCCACTTTGATGATTTAATTTATTTTAATTGGCAAAAGTAATGCAAAGAGCGCGCAACGTCCGTGAAATGTGCGCCATTTGATGCCACATCCGGAATCATTCAATTAAACGTTAATACAATTCAAATGTGGTCATGACAGTCGCTCTTTCAATCTAACAATGAAGGCAACACTCCAAATAACGCACCTACTAACGCTTGTGAGTACCTCCTAATATTAAATTTACATACTTGAAAATGTGTGTCTAGCACAGCTGCACTTTTTGTCAAATTACAAACAATTAATATACCGAAATTATTCTGCTCTAAATATTTTACAGTTAAATATAAATTAAAATCACTATTTCATTTCATCTGTTGGAATTCATTTTTATTATCTGGAATAGCCTTTTATCGAGTTTTTCAATATAGACTGGTATCTGGTATACTGGCGAAAATGATTTTAACAAGTTTGAGAAAATGTACCATTCAGATTTGAAGAACATAAGAATACTCTTCAACATTCTCAGGTTTAAACCACACACAATTTTCAGCTAATCTTTATGTATTCAGTCCATACCAAATTTAACACAAAGTTTCAAGTCGTGTACCAAAATCCAGAATCTACATTTTTATTCGAGTTAAACGATTTCAGCTATTGCTCTTTATTTTTGCTAATGCCGAGCCCGAGCTGAGCTGCAAGGAGATGCGTGCTAATGCCACAGTAAGTGACAGACACATCTAAAGGCAGTATATAAAAGCATTCAATCCTTGACAGCGCCTGTCGGCTAGCTGTTGTCAGTTGACGCGTCCCAGCTTGGACACAGGCTATGCAGATTGTCGTGACAGCTTAAAGTTGCCCAAAGATCGTCACTTTACCTTCGCCGAGCTCTATACCATCAACATGGTAAGCTGTGCTGCTTAAATCAAAGCAAATCTTTAAAGTTTTTGCAGTGCCTGGAAGAGTGCAATTATATAGGCTCTGGCTATATTGATGTGGATCCGCCATTTCGCCTGGACATGGGCCGTGTAAGGCAGAACTTGGAGCATATACTGCCACAGCCAAAAGCCACAACCGTTGCCTTTATGTTCGATGCCTATGCTAAGTGCGAAGCCTATCGTAAGTCGCCGCCCGGTTAGCCAGAGCAAGCGGGAAAAGTGGTTTTAAAAAGAGCGTTGCCTACTTGCAGGCGCACAGCACGCAGCTCGCTTTGCTCTGCATCTGCCGGATATTGAATTCATTGAGGAGAAATGCAACCCGTTCGCGTTGCACGTGACCATCTGTGTACGCATCCATGCGATGCAGAAGTGCCCCAAGCAGTTCTACTCGCCCAGCGCCCAATGCCACATGGCTCAAACATTCTTTACGAAGTGCGTGGATGACATTGAAACGAATCTTTCGTAGGAGTATATGGACACACGAACACACACACATGCAGGCACACCTCTGGGCAAAAAGCAGCCAAAAAGGTGATACGTGTAAATGAAATGTATTAAAGTCCTGCATGCATATAAATTTGTGTTGCACTGACGCAAAGAAAAAAAGCGTTTCAAAATAAAAGAAAAAGTCATAAAAGTCATAGATGAAATATGGCAATTTGACTTTGCTCACTGTGTGGGTTAGTTTTACATGTGTGTGTGTCCTGGACTTCTATGCTGCAGTGTCAAAACTGCAAATTGAATCTCCCTTACATACATACACACATGCAGATGTGCTCGCATGTCAATGTCCGCTGCTGCTGACTTTGCATAACTTCGTCTGCTCCTTCAAACTTCCAAGCGTTGTGGCACTTGGTTTTATATACACTGTTGGAACCGTAAAAAAGGTTGCATTGGCTTTATGCAATGTCCGTCTGTCCGCAAGAAATAAGGTTGCATGCTCGGATATGCCACATAAAATAGGGTTTATTGCTGATGAATTTTTGTATGTGACCTTAGATAATGTTGCCACGCAATCATTCTGTAAGTTTTCCCTTTTAAATACACTGTGTGATAGAGCATGTCGTAGTCGGAAGTTGCCGCTTGCAACGTTTTTAGTTGTTTTTCGCGTTTTAAACTTTTTTCTTTATTTTTGCACATCCCTGAAACCGAGTCAGCAGTAAAGGTTGACTGGCGTCGGTGTCGCTGTGTATGTGTGAGTGTGTGTGTGTCACAGGACATGTTATGCAACTGAAACAAAGGCAAATTTATGTGTTAGTCCAGTGCCTCTCAGCGCCTGCCAACAGCCAACAGCCAGCAGGCAGCTTGAGCCATATTGCAGGCCCCTCAGCGTCAGGTTAAATGGAATTTCCTTTAAGGCTCTGCTCGTGTTTGTTCATGAGTCTTAAAACAATTACCACATTACTCGATTTCTAGATTTCTCTCTCACTCGCTATCTTCTTCGTTAAGTCTTTTCCACATCTTTTACTTTGCGTTTGTCTTGCTTTGATTTGCATTTTCAGCCCCCTCAATGCCATTGCCAGCGCCACCAACTGGCAATCAAAGAGCTTTTGCATTTTTCTTTAATTACGCCCTCAAGTCAAATTAAAAGCAAATGATAGCCAAGTTACACACACACACACACACACACACACACACACACACACACACACACACACATATACAGAGACAAAATCTCAGAGCAATTTTGTAGCCTTTTCCATTTGCGGCTTTGTAGAGTTTTACAGTTTTACAGTTTACTTAGCCAAATCAAAGCGCACGTTTTGGCCAGCTTTCAAGAAAATTATTTTTCAGACAAAGTCTGGCCAAGACGAGCCAAATACCGGCCAAGAATGGCCAACGCTGGCAACGCCTTGCAAATGAGTTGCCGCTACTCAAGTACCTAATGACCACTAGGTATTGCCTCATTTGTGTGCCAGCTAATTAGCTTAGCTTGGCGCTTCTCTTTGCCACAGCCGGGCACCAACGCAGCCAACGAGTCGAATAAAAGACGTCGAGTGCTCGTAATTAAAATAAAAATTCACTAGAAATAAAAATATAATAATAGTAGTCCTGCCTCAGGGATGTTGCACGTGTGAGTCTGGCTGGTCTGTGCAGTCAAACAGCCCCTTGGGGCGACTGGCGGGACAAGGAAACTGCATAATTCATGCAACCACTGCCAACAATAACAAGCTGGCTGTTGGCTGCTGGCTTGTGGCGCTATGCAAGAAGCGAGGGTGTGCAATCAAAATTATTATAATTGCGACGCGTTCGCCATTGTGCGCCAACAATGACTTCCGCTTCCGTGCTGAAATTTGCTTGTCTCCAGTGTCGCTCGTCCTGTTCGTTATTCGTTGTGATTGCACCCGCGCCTCTGATTGTTGTTGCTGCTGTTGCATCTGCGACGCCTGCATTTGCATTGTTTTTAGGCAACCGTTAAAGGGTAGCGCACTGTGGGGGTGCTGGGCTGTGTGAGGATGCGGCACATTAAGTGCCTGCAAAAGACGCGCGACAAAGTGAGCAACGCCCTCAGGGCGGGGCCAAGGCTAGAGGAATGACGAGACGGTGGCTAACGTGCTCAAGTGCTAAAAAACTAGAGAAGTCGCATGGCGCAGTTGTAGGAGTGTGTGTATGTATAGATGTATGTATTTATGTGTGTGTTTGTGTGTGTGTGTGTGTGTGTGTGGATGTGGGTGTGGATGTGCGCATTCAAAGCTGTAATTTTACTTTGAGTGAAAGGAAAACATAAGCCAACGTGTCTGGCTGTGTAATTAAAAGCATTCAAACAATTCTCTGATTAGCTGAACTTTGACATCAGTCAATGCAACATGAATGACATAACCTTTTGATCAGCTTGACAAACTCATAAGAGGCTCCTCAATCACCATACACACGCATGCACAACGCATCAATCAAACTGTGTGAGTCGAATTCAAAGCGCACAAGAGTAAAGGCCGGAACTTTGTTTGGCCTTTTGGCACGCAGCTAATGACATAATTTGATTTGTGTTACGAGAACTGTTTGCATCGAGTGCGGGGTATTATTACGATTATCACCATCATAACTTTTGCTAAGTGCGTTAATTTAAGCAAAGTTTTGGCAACCAGTCCAGCAAGGCCGTTCGACCCTGCTCCCCAGCCACTGCCGCATGGGCAATCAATACCAATTCGTTTGCCTGTGTTTCTGAGTGTATAATAAAGTGCAATTTAATTAGTTTAATTAATAAGCAAGGAAGTTTCCAGTCGCTAGCCAAATACACACATAGACACACGCACCCGCACCGACACGCACATCTACTCAAACATATACAGCACCAGGCATCAAATTGACTGTTTGTCTTTGCATGAATGAAACTCTGAATGGGAACCCTGATTATTGCTATGAAGCCATGGGGCGTGACATGGCATCAGTGTCTGTGCTGTATTATATTTAATTCTGGCTACCATTTCAATTAAGTTTTGAATACCCTGCACCAGCTCTGAAGCTCTGCAGAGAATGTTACATGCAGGAATAGGCGAGAGATCAGAGCTTTGAGCTAAATCGAAAACTACTTCTCTCGGCTATCTAAATTTAAGGAAATATCCCTTACGTTATCTTAATCGCAATCAATATCCGACTGGCGAGTAATTTGTCACAATTAAAACTGAGATCGTATCACGCGTTAAATATATCGCATATTTTATCTATATATGCTGGGTATTTAATTTGTGCCACCACTATCTCTCATACATGCCACACTTTAATTGCTTTATTTGCGCTCAGACACATACACACATACGACCGAAATCTGACAAGTCTGGGGCTAATTGTTGCATTAGATATCAAAAGTTTATGGCCCTGAAAGCAGCAGATTTTAGATATATTTTAATGAATTGTTATTACGCTTATCTGTCACACAGTGCAACCACCAGCCGCACCTTCTCCGCACCCTTTTGTTTGGCATGTTAGCTATGTTTCGTGCTGGTGGTTTTTTTAATTGTTGCGTATACGCCAGGTGGGCCGGTCCGTGACACAGGCAAAATCCCGTTTGCATATTAATGTCGGCACGGCATGTGTGCGCGGGTGGGCGATGAGTGAGGGGGGGAGAAAGGTTTACCTTTGGACACTTTCTAGCTATTTGCCTGTGCCTTGCGTGCCTTTGACACTAGCTTTCCGGCGCCGCGAAAAACCTGTCGCCATCCAATTTCATTCGGTGTCGGATTTTCACTGATTAAATATGCGCGCCCATATTTCATATTTCTGGGGCATTGCCTGCTGCATATTGCCGCTATTTCACGGCTCAAAACCCGGAGTGCACTCTTTACCAACGGCTGCTAATCGATATACTCGACTAGGCAATATAAAAGTAAATAAAACTTTTGGTCAAGTGGGGCACAGCTCGAAGTGAAATATAATACTGGAACAACATATAAACCAGCGCCAAAGCATTAATCCAAAGTGGCCACTTGACAGGCATATGAATACAACCCGGCAACCAAGCAGAAATATTACAATATGAGAGCACAATAAAATAAATCAAAGAGCCATGTTCGCCGCTACAAATAAATTCATAAATTTCGAGTGCCAAACAGCAGCAACAACAAGAACTACGGCAATAACAATAATAATAATAAAAACTGTGCGAACGAGAGCGTTACAGACCATTTTGCGCGCCAATCAATGAGCTATGAAAATATGAAAAAAATTAACAGCTTCGCAGGCGAGAGCTTGCGACTGGCTGATACACTCTCTTCAGTATAACCTCAAACCGAATTAAAAATGTAAGTGCGCGTGACTGTATGTCTTGTGCCTCATAAATGTTCTCACAGTGTCTAAAAGGATGCCAGTTGAAGAAAAGGATTTTTGGATGGCACAAAAATTCCTTATGCTTGGTCTTAGGCTAGTGTACACATATTTACCAAATCTAGCCTAACGCCAATACACCTCTTTTGTTCGCTTGAGAACAGAGTATAAAAATCAAAACGATCACAAGCGCTGGAAATGGCAAGGGTCAGAGGCGGGTGAAAGATCCAGCAGCAGCTCTTGTGTCTGTTTTGAAATTGTAAATCACTTTTCGAAAATGGAAAATGTTGTCGCACGTTTTCGCTTGTGAAGACACGTCCCTGAACCAAAATTATCTATATGTATATTAATGTATGTATATATAGATATAGGCTAATCGCTGGCAACCCTGGATTTGTGTAGGGCGACCTCAAGTGACCCAACCGGACTCATAATAAATCTGCTGAAGCACATTGCGTATACGCACTATTGACACAAACACTTCAAATAGACGGGCGAACAAGCTAGTGGTAACTCCTGGCAAGCGTGAGAAGCGAAGCTTATGAAATAATAACAAAAACAGCAACAGCACACATTGAGCTGGATAAGACGAATGGAAGTCCTGGGATTGGTTGTAGGGTTGTGGAGCGGGGAAGCTATGCATGAAAAGCAAAGCGTAGGAAATCTGTTGAATATCAAATAACAATCACTTCGCAAGCTAAATATATCATTATGCCTAAGTAGGTGGCCGTATAACTGGCTTCGGGGCAACGGCATACAGTCACAGGGATAAAGCACGGATACCATTTTAGCACACACACACACACACACACACATACGTGCACACACGCACACATGCTTATAGCTTAGGGACCACACAGGGATTCTAAACGTTTTGCGCGTTTGCTTTGCTGATGTTCCTTGTTGCTGTCGCAATTGTTGATGTTGTTTCTGTTGTTGCTGTAATTGTTGCTTCTCTTGTTGTTGTTTTTGGGTGCGCCTGACTCGCCTTTTTTGTGTAGAGCAAACGAGTATTCCCTGTATAATCCCCATGGCTTGCATGTTTGCTTAGCACCTACTCAGCGTATGTTAGGTATATTAGTCTATTTGTTACAGTGTGTGCATGTGTGTGTGTGTGTGTGTGTGTGTGTGTGTGTGTGTGTGTGTGTGTGTGTGTGTGTGTAACTGTGGGTGCCTGGTTCTTGGACAAAGGGAGCACCACGCTCAGCATTTCTACTATGTTATAAATTTGAAAATTTACAAAATCATCGTCCGTATTTGATTTGCATTCAATTTTGTATCGAACCTTCTTAGTTGCCAATTCGCCTCAAGTGTGCGTGCGTATGAATGCGTGTGAGTGTTGTGCCTGCGGATTGAGCTCGTTTGTATTTCACAGAATTGCACAAGAGATTCACAAATTGCTTTCATTGATTGCCACCGACAAAGCCAGTCGGAAGGTGGTCTCAAACGCGCAAAGCTGGCACTGGGAATAGCTAAAGGCTAGGTGGTCTGTGTCGGGCGATGCGGGGCGGGGCAGTGAGGCGCTGTAGTGTGAACTCGCATTGGGAAATGGCCTTAAATTGTCTAGTGCCACAAGAGAAACAGAGAGCACAGCTGGCAGCTGCCCTGGAGCCCACTCGTCGTATGAGTAACGTAGTACGACAAACACTTTGGCAGCTGTTTTATAGTTGGCCAGCTGCAACTGAGAGGCGCCCAGTTGACCCCTTTTACAGCAGCCACCGAGGCTTATGCTGCGGACGTCTACGTGAAATTATTACGCTGCAATGCATCATCCAAAGTAAACAGCGGCAGGCACCAGACGAATCTGCCGCTGACATGCTGAAGAGCAGCAGCACACGCGTTGTTCACAGCAAAAAGCGTGTGTATTTAAAGGGGCCCGAGCAAAGTATTTAAGCTCTAAACAATTGAAAATAAATAAAAAGAAACGAAAAATGGAGAACTGAAATAAAAAAAGGCGCATAGCGAAAAGTGTACGGCAGACAGTTGGGACACAATTGACGGACATGCTGCTAGAGTAATTGTTATCCTTGTTGGCTGTGCGCAGGCACGTCGCGCACTCGAAACGTGGAACGCCGAACTGAGCGCGGACTAAGCGCAAGAGACGAGAGCATACTACACAAAGCACAAACGCCACTTGAGCGTGGCACGCGCGCGCGGGCATCGCCAGCAGCAGCAACACAGGCAGCAACAACAGTTGCAACAACAGCAACAAAAAAGAGAAGCTGTAAGCAGCACTCAGCGGCACGCACTTGAGGGCTTTTGCAACAGGACGAGGCATGCCCAGGCTGGCAGCTAAAACTGCAATCGCAGCTGAAGTGGGGGATTCAAATTGGGAGTTGTTGCCACGCCAATGCCCATTTCCTTCATATCTATATCTATGTCGTCCCTTTGTATACTCTAGCAGTGGCTTCTACATTTTGATCATTTGTTGTTGATCAGCATTTAAATGACATGATAAACAAAAGGTTCTTATTTTAAAAACAATTGAAATTAATCTTGGCATATTGTTACTGCAGTTACTTTCATGTTAAAAAATAGCCTTAATAAGGAATTTCTTATATTTTGATAGTATCTGTTATATTATTTTACTAAAAAACCTGTCGGCTATCTTTTATCTATTAAGAGATAATCGGCTTTAAATGCAGTTATTTGAAAAACACTCTTGTCTGGCTAAGATCAGATTATTTGTTCGCAAGAGTATTTAATTTCCAGCAGTGCCAAAGTAAGTTATTTTTCTCTTCTTCTGTTTATTTATTTTATTTTACTTTTTTTCTACTTTTTTTTTTGCGTGCCTTTGTCCCACTCACTGTAAAGCTTCTGTGAGTTTACATTTCGTTGGGGACTTATTTATTTTTAATATTTTTATTTGTCGTATGCAAATAGGCACTCTTTCCCGTTGTTCTTTGGAATTGTTTTTATTTATTTGTCTGCGGCTTTAGCATGTACTCTGCAAATCTTTGCGCAACAATGCCTTTCAATTAAGTAGCGGCCATGTCTTGACAGTCATGTTTGAATTTTGTATAAAAACTTGAAGCAACAACTTTGTTGCAACTTGCCATGGTCGCATAAATCACATGTCAGCAGCAGCATTGGCAGCAACATGTCAACAGCAAAGCTGGTTCGCATGCCAAATGAGCCGATATGAGCGCGAGAATGCAGCCAATCCGGAATGTGTGGCAACAATGGCCGCCGGCCAATGGGTCAATGGTGCATGTTGCATGCCCCACGATGGTGGCTGCAATCGTAATTGAAATACAAAGCCAATTTATAAACGAGAAACGATAAAACCCAAACAGCGGGCAGCGAACAGCGGGCAACAATAGCAACAGGAGGCAGTGGGGCAGGTGGCAGGCGTCCGTCTGGTTCGACTGCAACATTGAGGGGTAGGCCAGGCGAACGGTTACAACAACGGGAAGATGAAATAAAGCATCAAAGTGGCAATCACGCCAATCACGCATAATAAATCATTGCGTAAGTGTATGCGCGCATTCTCATGTGTGCGCCTTTGCACGTGTGTGTGAGTGAGGATGTGCGTGCGTGTATTTGTGAAGCCATGTCAAAAATGACGAAACCCAGCAGCTAGCGGCGGTCACGTGTTGTCAGCACACAAGAAACAACGTCGGCTTTAAGTAACACGCACAAACACACACACGCATAATCCCACACTCACACACACATATAATCACACACTCAGACATACAAAAGTGCATACACACATGCCGACGCATGCGAGTGTTTATTTATGCTTGTTTATTGGTGGCCATATATAAGCGGCAGTTGGCAAGACAGGTGAGCTGACCAAGAAATTCAGAGCGCATAAAACAAAACCAACAACTTCCAACGAGTGGAAACCACGCACTGTGCCTATTGGTTTGTGGTGCGTTCTGTTTGGTGCTTGTGGTTAGATATTATGCAAATTGTTTTTAAAAATATAAAAGGCTTTGATTAGCCTATGTCACTTGCCAGAAGTGAAGACAGCCATAGAGTTCAAAGGCCTAGCTTCGGCTCCAATTTTAACTGCCCGTTTCTCTGGCATCTCTCAGTTTCCGAGTCATTAAGAGCTGGTTCACCTCACGTGGCAGCTTCGGCTTCAGCACCTGCTTTTATCGTGCGCAAGCAGAGCGTGTAATTTCCTCCTGTAATTGGTGTAATTGAGTGCAAGAGCGAAGAAAATATTCAACATGCCAGCAATTAACATAAATTCACTGCGAGTGGCTAATGAAGAACAGTTACGAGGCGCCGAAGATTAAATGCACTGCGAATCTCTTGTAGGCTATATATAAGCGAAAACTGCTAACTAACTGAGTATATGCTTGAGATAATTTCAAATGAAATCAAGAAAGTTATATCTGACCAATGCAGGCAACTGAAAAACGAGGATCATATTTAAATCCCAGACTAGTATTTTAAAGGTGAAAAAATACGATTTCATAATTAAAATAATAATACAAATAATAATGTGGCACCCTGGGCTGTAAAACTCACGTTCGAGAATCAAAATGAATTTTTATATTTTAAGAATATATGATATTCAAATATCTGTCAAAATAAATGCGGCTTCCAAAAGGATTCGCATTTGTGCAGTACAACAATTTTCATTACAGTGAAACTAAAACCCAGCTGTTTTTTAACCACGGCATTGTAATATAATGCAAATAAAAAACTATTTTTTTGTTAAATTTAAACTGGATTAAATAACTGTAATTATATAAGATACCTAAATACAGACATTTAAGCTTGCAGAAATTCGCAATTTAATGAACCTGAAACAACAGTTCGCATGCAACATATTAAGTCTAACCAAACCCGTTGGCAATACGTTACATAGATTACATATAAAAACTTAAAGAACTCTTTGTAAGTGTATGTAAGAGCAACGCAAGCCCAAATGATAATGAAGCGCCCGTGTTGGGCGTGGCAAGTGCAAAGATAAGCAAATGGCAGCCGCAGTGCGCTTGCCGCAGCGAGTGCCGTTGATAATTGCCCGCGTGCGTGACAAATGCAGGACGCAGCGAGAGATATTAAAAAATATAGCATACTTACATGCGCGACAAGCCAGAGAGCTGTGTAGCGGAGTGGGTGCTGAGCAAGGATAGTGCTGTTTATTTATTATGCTGTGCAGCAATGTCAACGCGTTGCCTTATTAACAATGCGCGCGAGGTGTAACGCAGATAAGTGTTAAGGGTTGATCTGGGAGCTCGGGGTATACTATGAGATTATTGCACAGTAAACAGCTCGGTCCATTCGAGCGTATATTTTATGCCCACGTTATATTCCACGATGTTCATTTGGCGTGTTTTCATTTCCTTTGCAGGAATGGAGTGCTTTCAACGATTCTCCGAGCAGCCCAAATACACGGAGGTTAATCCACGCGAGGACGCGTTGCTCACATGCAAAGTAATCGATAAGCGCGGCTCGTGCTCCTGGCAAAAGGATAACAAGGTAATCTAGTTAGATAAGGTAAACTAGTCACACATATTGACATTGTCCATTTAATTCATATATTATATGAAGGCTAGTGTTTGCTTGCACTTTATAAATATCCTTAGTATATACACATACGCAGACATAACATTTACTGAAAGTCATTTCATATGCATGGCGCGTCCTGTGGTTCAATTAAGTGTTGTTTTAGCTGCCAGCCTAGGCACATGTGCCAAAAGTAATTTACGCCCTTCGGCAGGACGAGATAATACAAGCCGCTGAGCTTGTGGCAAAGCTGTGAGCTTTACTCTCGCTATTGATATGCCCCTGGACAGCGTTTCTTTGTTGAGCCGACCGCGCTTTGATTGGGCCATATTGCTGGCCAAAGTTTTAATCGAAAATGCGTGACAGCACGCACCGAAGCCTTGGGCGGTTACACACATGTGCATACACATACATATGAACTCAATTAGATTCGCCGCCGCGCTACATGGAAACGCTATTACGACCAGCAGTACATATCTAACAGTACTCTTCGGCACTATTTCCCAAATTCAACCAGAGATCTGCATTGTTTTAACCTGTTTTCCAAATATGGCAAACTTTTACATTAAAAAAAAAAAAAAGAATTACTTCAATGTATCCATGCAATAATCCTGCAATTTCCATTTAATGAACCTCCAAAAGGCTCAGGCAAGCTAGCTAATTGCTAGCTTTGGTCCTTTGCTCTTTGCTAGCTTGTTGACTTGAAATAACTAAAGAAGCAAACATTTTAAAAGCCAACAAAATGTATGTGTGTGAGTTTCTGTAAAATAAAATTAAATTGCGTATGCTGCTGTGAGATGTAAAATGAGAGTTAAATGATTTTATGTAACATTAAGACTTGATTAGACCATTTGAAACTAAACTGGTCCTTAAATACCGGGTGTATTTGAAGATATCTATTTCTTTTAAGTCTGTAATCGTATTTCTGTTTATAATGGTTAATTAATTAAAGAACATTTCAGATCAATACGACTAAGCACCAAAAAGTTTTCATATATTTTCCGAAATTTTCAAACAAGCTCTGGTTTCAATATATTTGCTTAAAAGTGTAACGAGAGTATATTTTTTGAATAATTTGATTATTCGAAATAGTAAATATTAATATATTTGATATATATTTCAATATATTTGAACTTTTGCACACAAAAAAAAATTAGCTCCTTAATTATTTATAAGAAAATTATTTTGCAAATACTGCATTAAGAAAAAAAAACTGTGCATTCTCCCACAATATTTAATAATTTTCATAATTTCAAATGTAGCCGCAGATGACAAACACAGAGTGACAACTGATAACTTTCGATTAGTATAAGAGCGTGTGTTATGGGTGGCAGCAGGGTATCTTCCAGTTGATCTGCCTCTTTTTCTTTTCTTTGTATGTTAGTTCTCTGGTGAGACGTCATGTTTTGGTCTTGTGGGCTATTGCTTTTTGGCTTAGAATCAAAACATCTACGTGTTAATTTGCATAGCAGTCGAAAATATTCTGTACGATACCAAGCAGAGTGGACTCATTATTGGGTTGGCCCGAGTCCAAGGCATATGAGAGGCTCGGTTTATCTTTAGCTTGAATATGATTTTGCTACTTGTTAGTCATGGCATTCATAGCATAACTTTCAGATGCTTCTTTTCCGTCTGCCCCTGTCCATCTCCCTTTATCCCTCTCTCTCTCTCTCTCACTTGTATCACTCCTTGCGATCCATGAAGCTGGCTCTGGAAAATCAAATACACTACGGGGTGTGGTGGGGGCTGGTGTTTCAGGCTACTTGCATGACAAAAATCACAAAGCATTTCAAATGCACTTTTTCATATGCTGCACATCGCAACGGATCGCATCGCAGCGCATTGCCTCGATTTGCAGCATATACTTAAATGTTTACATGGCTTGTGTCTCTAGGACACTAAGGAGCTGCCATGCAGCAAAACACATAGATGGGCATAGCCAAGCAGGGCATTTGCATGCGTCGAGTGTCCTTTACGTGTACAACCCTTACACACACATACACAAACATGAGCACACGCAGATTGTTGCTGCGTTGTGTTCGCTTTCATTTAAAGTTCACCCTATTTTTGAATATTTATAGCAATTGTTGGTTTTGCTTGTGTGTTTGCTCTCAAAATTCGCTTGCCCATTTTTGCAGGGCATTTGTATGGCATTCCATATAATATTTTTTGTATAGTTATCGTAAGTAGACAACTTTCATGTCTGTCCAAACTGTGGAGCTTCCACTTCAATTGAGGCTAAGTACAGTCCATAAATACTTATTGTGCAAAATGTTTATAAGGAGGCACATTCGAGAATCGTTTGAACAACTTACCTCGTCCCCAAATATCCTCAGAGACAAGCAACAAATGGGCCAAGTAAGAGCGACACGAAAAGGTCCATTAATCGAAGGCGAATAGTTGTGGGCCAATTGCAAAAGTGCTTAACTGTCTCTTAGCTTTGTAGCTATTCAGATGTACATAATTTGGACATAGCAATTTTATGCCACACATAAATATCATCTACTAAAAATGCCTACGACTATTGATCAGCTATTAAATACCCTGTTCTTATAGCCTTGCAGAAGCTTTTGTAATTTTGTCTCGAAATGTATAACGCATAAAAGGAGACATCCCCAACCAACTAAGGTATACATTTTGTTGGTCAGTATCAACTAGGCAATAGCCTAGTTGATATATTCATGTCCGTATGTTTTTCTGTCCGTCTGTCTCTTTTTATGCGAACTAGTCTCTCAGTATTTGAAGCTGAGTATAGTCATGAAACTTTGCTTCCCTATTTCTGTTGCACGCAGTATGGTGGAATTGATTGGAGCGGACCATTATATCATAAAGCTGATACAGGAACAATCGGTCTTAAAGTAGTTTCATGTATAAAAATCTTATTGTTTTTAAGATATTCATACCATTCCCGAAAAAAATGTTCAATCTGCAAGGGTATTAATTATTCGGCGTGCCGATAGAAGTGTTAGATGCTAGATTTTTTTCACTTCGAGGGCATAATTGAAAATTTAAAGTATTTTATGAATCCATTTACAAATAATAATTTCAAATATTTTATAAGGTTACTTATTTGACAGGCAGTCAGGCAAATATGAACTACCTAAGAATTTATTAATTCATATTTATCCATATGGTATATATTCAAAGACAGAAACTATTATGCTCTGATACACAAGTAAACTCGTGCTCAATTTGAGTACACAGTATAAATAAGAAAAAAATAACTGACAAGGAAAACAGAACAATGCGGTATGTTGTGGTATAGAAGATAATGTCGATTGGAAACGATTTAGTTCACTTTGAGGGCGGTTACCACAAGCACAACCGACACACACACACACACACACACACACACACACACACACACACACACACATACAAATGGTCACAAACATACACATTCAAGCAGCAACTAGGAGACAACAAAATATTTGCTGGCTTTCCAAATTGTTATTTTGACAATTGGCAGAGCCTGGCCAACAGTATTGAACATCATTCGCTTTGTACTTTAGCCAAGAGGCACACCCAGAATAACACAGATAGATTCGCTTAACCCCGGTTCTCCGACCAACGCAGCTGCAGCTGACCAGACGATGGTTGGCCAAGATAGCACACACAAAAATGTCGAAACGAAAATGAAATAATAATTTAAATAATTCTCAAATGGAAATGCCTTTTGGCCGTAGCTAATGTCGAATGCAAATGAATCCATTTGCATAACTGTACGAATACTGAATACGAATATGCGAATATTACGCGTGCCGTTCGACCAAATGTTGGAGCCAAACCAGTCACATAAAATGTTATGCAATATTTTAGCCGTCTCTCTGCCTGTCTAACCTATTGTGCTGCAAAATCCCTAAATTGCAATGCTGTGAAATTCCCTCAAAATAAAAACATAAAAGAATAATTAATTGTTTATAGAGCTGCATACCCGATGCTATTGACCCTTTTGTGGTGACTACAGTGTACAATTAATTTAACCCATTAGATGAGCAGACATTTTAATGGTTCAAGGGCTAAGCAACCTGAAAGCCGGCAGTCGGACAACGTGAACGCAATTAGGTAGCTATGGAAACATTCTCGACTGGATACAGCCGGACACACGAGGGGGGCGTGGCATTGAACATAAATACTTAAATGGGAACGATGCCATGCTCAAAGATCACTAATTGTAATTTAATTTCCAATTAGCAAACAAACTAATGCCAATTTAGAAACGGCAACAAGGAAAACGATCCCTGTAAGCGGAGCTAAATGACACGTAGTTGAAAATGTTAGCAGACAGGCAGCTGGCCGGGGCGAGGCGGGTAGGGTTTGGCCGGGTCAATGGGTTGGGTCAGCGCCATTCAAAAGCCAACCTGCTGGCTACATTCTCTGGAAATACATATATCTGTCTGTTTCTGTGACTCTGTGTGTGAGTGTGTCTGTGTGTGTATGTGCGTACGGCAAAATTATACGCCTGACTACATCGAAAAGTTAAACATGCTAAACATGTCGATGTCCAGTATCCCGCCCACAGCATTTCGTTTCCATCCACATTCACATCATCCTCATCATGGTCCTCCCACTCCATTGTTTTAGCTGCTTTAGTAATGCAAGATTCTTCTCCCTCTCTCCTCGCATCTAACAGCCAGTGGGCATCTACCCGAAGAAATACGAATGGGCCGCACGTCCACTGAGTGGCAATGGCGCCTTACAACTGGATCTACATCCGCCGCCGCCCATGCAAATCGGCGGTGACTGCTCCCTGTGGATACGCTCGGCCACCCTGGACTTTGACGACGGCCTGTGGGAGTGTCAAGTGACGGCCAGTGATTTTACCGCACAGGACGCGCTGACCAGTCAACCGGTGCGATTGGTTGTACGTGGTGAGTGTTAATCCAGCAGCTGAAATCAATGTCGCCCAACGTGGCGTATGATTAATGTTTGGGCTTCATCCTAAAAATGCAACTGGTAGCAGTTCTAATTCAATATATCTTTCCCACAAAAAGATTTCGAACTGAGTTACAAATGATTAAATCCTTAAAGGAGACTTGTCCGATTTTATATATTATATTTTATTAAAGAGAATCATGTTATTTTTATTTAAATTTGATCAGCATAATCAAATATTATATATTATATGATCTTATATTCGCCAAGTCTGGACTTATAAAGGGTGAATGAATATATTAAGAAATCAACTTAGATTAAGTTAAGTATATAAAATATACATATGATCTGGCCCAAGAGGGGGTATCTCTTAATTGGACACTTTCTACAAGAAAATTCCTTGCTTGTTTTTGAAAATGTAATCGAAATCGGACAAGTTCATCAATTACGATATTTAGTATCCTACAGAGCTATGTGGATTATTTTAAAAACGCATGCTTCATTCGATATATGGATAATGGGCACTCGTTGAAGGATTTTATTAAATTTATTCACGAGCTGCTCGCAGTGCTGACATTTATTTCTGACCCCAAGAGCCGTATTACTAATCTGTGTATACCATTTCTTTCCTGTTTTTCCCACACACTCATTTAGTGGCGCCACAACGTCCACGTCTGGAGTTTGAGAGTGCACCGCTGCCGCCGGGCCACAACATCACGGTAGACGCCGGCGCGGTGGCGACTGTGAAATGCGCCTCACATTATGGTAATCCGCCTGCAACGCTCAAATGGTATTTGGGTAAGTAGCGGGGCTGTGCGGAGATGGGGGTTGGTGCTGGCAGTTGTTATCCTTTGATTGCAGTTGTTATCTTGTCTGGCTGTGACATAGTCGTGTTAATTAATTTGAACGATTTGCTCTCGACAGGCGACCAGGAAATCTCGCCCATACACCCGCAACTGAATGCCACCGAACCGGACAATACACGCACCTGGTCAGCCACCTCAGTGGTGCAGGTGTCTGCAATGCGCGAGCGACACGGCGACATACTGCGCTGTGTGGCGTTCCATGAGAACTACGAAGCCAAATCGGTGCCAGTGGAGGCCCGTCTCGATGTCAAATGTAAGTCCAAAAAACAAATGATAGCAAAAACAAGCAAAGAAAAGTTTAGTCACCAGTCTCCGGCTAGACGAAGGAGCGCGTCCCTTGGGCATGGTCCTTAGCTTGGTCGGTTGAGCTGATTGCATTACGTTGCATTTGGCTTAAAGTCAAAAACTAAAAGGACATGGCAAACAGCTGTAACAATTCAATTAGCCACAATTTGCAGCAATTTCCTGTTTTGTTAAGCAATTCAAGATTTTTGGCCCCAAGACGAGCAGAAGGACAACTTCAATGTTAGTTGCTTGTTGACTTGTTTCTTGTGCTTGTTCTGCTTGAAAGTCAACTATTGCTCTTCTTCTCATCCCCTTCTTATGCCTTTTGCAGACGCGCCAACCATTCGTCTAATTGGCTCACCGGAAATCGACTTGGAAGAGGATAAGGATGCGCTTGTTCTGCGCTGCGTGGCCGATGCCAATCCGCCGGCCAGCATCGTTTGGCGACGTGCCGGACGCTCCGAGATAGCCAGCTTGCAGGTAAGACAGCATCGGCCTCCCTCCCCCTTAACTCTCTATAGCAAACCCATTATCCTGAGCAAACCGGCAGCATGGCATCCTGGCAGCCAGGTTCTACTCCAGCTTGTTGTTTATGTTGCTACGAAATTTCGACGTCGCTTGCCTTATTTATCTAAAGTGTAGCAGAAATTTGTAATTGTATTAAATTGCCATCTCTCTCTTTCCATCTTCTACCCGTCTCTCTCTAGGAAACGCTGCAGTTGCGTCCTGTTGGACGTCGCGACGCCGGACTGTACACCTGCCAGGCACAGAACTCGGTGGGCACCTCAGAGCAGCTGTCGGTGCAGTTGGACGTGAAATGTGAGTCTCTTATAATATTTATCTTGGCCCCGATTGTTGTTGTTTCAGCATTTGCTTGGCTAACTTTTGCTTAATTTTATATTGACGGTCGCTTCCGTGTTTATTCTGCCATAGATCCACCGAAAATTATTTCAGCCGGGCCGGACCGTCTTACAACAGCGCCGCTCTTCAGTCCCGCCGCGTTCGAGTGCGTCGCCGATGGTAATCCCATGCCAGCCTACAAATGGGTCCAGAGGTGAGTCCAAGGCCCCCAGCTTCAACCATCCGTGGAATGCACAAGATGAAGGCTACATAAATTTTTGCGTTGCATACTTTTGGGCGTCGTGGGGATCACGCAGCCGGCATGCGTATAATGCGCTTTATATTCACTGCAACCAGAACACACGCCTTTGAAAACTCCCTATGGCGTTAATTAAATCCTTCAGCATTCAAGGCTACATATACGTAATATTTGCGCACATCACATACAAAGCCCTTAATATGATGTTGCTTTATCAATATGCCGTGGCTTGTTGACGCAGCTCACCCGGCGCATAAGTAATATCGCATGAAACGCAAATAGAAACTCTGTCTGAGACGCGTTCATATATATATATACATGTTTAAAAACCACAATACCTGGCGCTAAAACAGTCTTTTAACTTTAAAGAGTTTCTGCCTAGCTTACAAACCCATTAAATAGTCCGAGATTTTTCATGTAAAAAAACTTTTCCGAAAGTCTGTTTAGAGACAACTCGCAAGGTATGCTGTAATAAAGGGTAAACTCGCTGCATTTCGACATTAAAACGGGCTATATACAAGTAAAATAACCCCAATTTAAAAAGCAATTATCCATGAGCTGTGAATGCACTCACGATAAAAATCTCACCAAAATATTAAAAACAAGAGGTTCTAGTCGGGAGCTATCGACTAGGGGATACCCTGAACCCTCATCTTCCAACATCAAATGCATATATTCTATTTTAGAAGCTATATGTCAAGTTTGGGGACTCAAGCTCTTATTATTTACCAAAATTGCCCAAAAAATAGGATATCGATATCAATTTTTATCGATTGCTTGGAAAAGGAGTAAGTTATCGATTATCGGAAACAAACTCGATCTGCGCAGGCACTAGCAGCACCTACATCTAAAATCAAGTCTCTAGCTATTATATGTTCTGAGATCCTTGCGTTCATACATACGGTCAGACGGAGAAACGGACGGACGGACGGACAGACAGACGGACATGTCTAGATCAAAAATAATACAAAAAACCATTAAATCATATTCCCACTGTTGACTGACTTTAGACATTTTTAAAAAACTTTGCAAAGGCACCTTCCAGATCTTATTGGAAACAAGCTCTAGACTTTTCACTTTTATCTTAAAAACTATTTTCTCGAAAGATAAACTTTATTAATTTTAAGACGAAATATTTTTGATCCTTAACGCTCAGACAAAATCGTTAAGTACATTACCTAATGAATTTATTTTGATTGATTTGCACATTTTGGTTTTTTTTTTTTATTTTGAATAAAGGCGTATTAACATGAACAAAATAATTTGATTAAATAGTGTATAACCATTTTTATACCATGTGTGTGAGATATACTATAAAAGTCCTAGTCTTATACTCCCTATAAAAGACGCGAGTTATAAAGTCAAATATTGAGTGTCTAGTAAATTTCAGAGTTATTATACCTAAGAGAAGCTCCATAAAAATAGAGCGTTCGTTTTATTAAAATCAGATCATGATATTGAATTAAAATTGAAATTTCCTGAATGCGGTTGAGCTTCCTGTTGCGCGTGGGGCACAGCTCAGTCAAACAGAAGCAAACGCAGCAACATCAGCAGCAATACACAGCTGCTATGCAGTTGCATGCTTTTATGACCACGCCCAACATCTATAACACTTGATGTTAGCGTCATTTTAATTAGCTGCACAGCGGAAGTCGTGCACAAAAAGAGATAATAATGGGAAGGGTGTAGGGGGAGAGAGAGAGAGACGGCGAAGAAGAGTGAGCGAGAGGTTGGGCTGCCACATTTTTTTATGGTTCGAAATGTCAGTCTTGTGTCTGCAGCCTCTTTCTGGGACTCTTGGGACATTAATATGCAAAGCAGTGCCATACTCATCCGTCCGTTCGTACATTCGTTTGTCCATTCAACAGGCAGCAGGTCGTCATGTTGGAAAAATCGAAACACAGAGTACAGTACGTGCCACTCTGTGTTGCATGCCACCAAGCCAAACTCAGCGTCAGATCAGCAGTCTGTACGTGATTTGTGATTTCATTTGTTTGCACTTCCCTCCTCGAGGTACTCACTGGAGTTACATATGAGCGTGTGTGTGGGCGTGGTCTCTTCTTGAGCTGATTCGCTAGAGCGTCAAATTCTAATAAAAAATGCCACATGCAACGTGTTGATTTAATGAAGCGTGCCCGCGCGTGTTTATCAGAAATTAAATGTCAATTGTTGAAAACTAATTTCCACGCGTAGCCCAACCTCCCACCCACACTCAAGACACATTAAATGGCGCGTGCCAAGCAAAACCAATATGGGGCGTTGAGTGTGTGTGTGTGTGTGTATTTGTGTGTGTGGCTGTGTTATTCGGTGTGTTTGCGTGTAATAAATCAATGGTGGGCGCTGTTAATAGGCTATAGCCCATGCTGAGGAGGCTTGCATCCCAAAGGCACCGTTACCGCTGGCTAACAGTGTCCTTTGTTTTAAACCACCTGAACCACATACTGACATATGCAAATGCAAGCCACACAACCGACCGCCACTTGGCTTGCAAATATATTTGCAGAAGGAAAAGCCGAAGCGAAGCATAGGAAAAGGCATGTCACTTTGATTTACGTGAAAATATTTCGACGAAACCTTCACAAACCCTGCTGAATGGAGACGAAGGAAGCGCTTTGTGGTTAGATTTTTTGTCGAATTTTTGCGACTTCATTTGTGGTGCAGGATTTGCATTTAAATGGCTTGCTAATTTATTGCTTTTAATTGCGTCGTGGCCCTTTAAAAGTCGCTTTAATTGACTATTTAAGCTGGAGACAGAGTCTATGCAAACTCTGTATCGAGCACAACTATGTGCGCATATCAAAGGAATTTGTCTGCGCCCAATCCGAAACTCTGGCCAAAATGGGAGTGGGTGTGGCTGAGTGTCTGTGTGTGTGAGTAGGTGGGGGCATGGCTGTACCGAGCTGAGCTGAAAGCATTTCCCAACATAAAAGGCATTTCTCATATTAAAAAATGTATCAAATATTTTTTGCTTGCAACGAAAATAACTCGCCCACAAACGCAATTTTCAATATTGCTGCACAAAACTTGCAACAGCAGCAATGGCAACTGGCCCCAACTCTAACCCCAAGCTGCAATGTAGGTGCTGCGTTTTACCCAATCGGGTTGTAGCTCATAAAGCTGACAGCAACAAAAAAAGAAAAAAATTCAAAATGAATAAAAGCGCAAGGCGAAACGCTTCAAAGTATGCCACGTCTTTTCTTTATTCCACCTCTATTGAGTATCTCTTTGGCAATGAACTTCTATTATTGATTTTCTGATTTCCACTTTCAGAATATCGCATGGCTCAAAGTACGTTGAGCGCGGCAATGAGCCGCGGCTGGTCATCGATAATGTCACCTACGAGTACCAGGGCGAATACGAGTGCCGGGCCACTAGCTACATCAATGGGCAGGAGCGGGTTGCCATATCCGATCCCGTATCGCTGCAAGTTGTGGGTAAGTGTGGGCCACACATGCGTGTATACACAGTTATTTTTTATGTATATGTTGCTGCGGGGCAACCGCAAATGCCGCAGCACCACAAAATATGACTACAGACACAACTGTCGCCAGAGCAACAGGAAAAAAATGCTGTACAAAAAATAGGAAATTCACTGAAAACTGAGTTACGACATGTCAAGCGGGCCGACAAAGCTCGTGAGCAACTGCTGGCCAAGCTGATGACCAGCAACAGCAGCCAGTACCACCAAAAAAATGGAAAAAAATTAATTTTACCTTTCAGATGCAGAAGATTAAATACCCTTTAGAAATATGGAAATATGAAATATGAAAGTAATATATTCGTCCGATCGGCCTCTAACTAATTTTAAAATCTTCTCCGCTCAAAAAAGGGGAAAACGTTTGATTGCAAACGTACACATGATTGACAATTTCGCCAATTGTCTGCAACTTTAAGAAATTGTATTACCCTACTATGCGCTACTCACGAATGAGTATATTAACTATAAAATTAAGGAATTTCGGCAATCTATTAAAATTTTTTGTTTGGATATATTACGTAAATATATAGTAAAGCAAACACAGAACAAATTAAAAGTCCACTTAGCTGTACATTATTAAAAACAAACACTGCCCCACTATGCGATTCTCATGAATTCGAGTAAGCCTAACAGATTTTCATGCTGAGTTTATAAGTATTGTATTATCATGGGTATTAACATGCTTGCACGACTGTCTCCATGTATGTCTGCATTATTACACAAAGTATATATATAAATGTATGCGTGTTTGTACACCAAACACAGACCAATTTTAATTGCCGTTGCTCTGCATTTCTTGAAAAAATTGAAATATCCTATGCAAGGGTGCAAGGGTACAGCGGATGGTCGCTTGCAAGTGCAGAGCTACGTTTAAAGAAACAGCTCGACGTGTGCACCATGTGAGCGAACTAAGTTATTTGGCCTGCTTCTCTTACCACCTTCCCCGCACTGCGATTTCCTCATCCTTCTTTATGTGTTTTAGTTACATAGTTAAGTCGCTCGCACTGTCGCTCCCCGTACAGCTAATGCTTACTTAAAATAACACAAAACTCCATTAAAAACTGCAACCGGAAAGCGCGTCGAAAACATTTTAAGCGCCTGCGATTTTGCCAATTCCCCTCCCACCCCCTAACCTCCCACCCGACAAGTTGTCGCTGCGCTACCCAACCAATTTGGCGGCTGCAGGCGCCGCACAGCAAATTTAGCAAACGGCAACTGGCGCTGGCGGCAGCAGACTAAACCAAAATGTAACACAAAATCAAAATGAACTTATGACCACAAGAAAAAAAAATGAATAAAAACATACAAAAAAAATGCAGGCAAAAAATGAAGAAGCGCGGGCAAAATGGCAGAATATAACAACTGCCATAGCCAACAGAGCCGCGGGCAAGAGTCGAAAAAGACAGAGAGAGTGTTAGAATGCGGGCGAGAGAGAGAGAGAGAGAGAGAGAGAGAGATAGCATATATATTTAAATTTAGTGCTGAATACCACAGCACGTACATAATTTATGGCCAACCAAGGACACGAGCAATTTAGCAGAGCCAGTCGGGAAAAAGTGCTATATCCTTTATGGGAATGTGTGTATGTGCACTGGCAAAAAAAATTGTGTGGACGCCATCTATATTTATATGTAAATATATAAACATGTTTGTGTATGTGGTCTATGTGAAAAGTAACTAACGAACTAGTTAACTAACAACAGAAAAAAATAAAAATAAATTGAAAGAAAAAAAATGCAGCTCATTATGTGCAGCTGCGCGCTGACGACATTGAAATACCCTACAGACAACAAAGTTTGTCAACATGTTTGGTAGCATTTTCAGCGGCACACGACATTTTAAATTCGTTTAACCGTGTCAGATACAGTTCCCAACAGATACGCTTAAATTGGCTTACAAAATATGCTGAACGGTCGGGAAGTGTTCACTCATTTTTTAATTAACTTGACAGCTTTTAAATAAGTAAATCCTTCTTATACTCTGTTCACCTGCTTACAAAGTAAAAAGAGACTTGCCGTCCTTTGTCTGCACTTGCAAGTTGTGCAATCTAAAGACCCCAACTATGATTTAAAGTTTTAAGGTGTTTTGTCCGTGACCAGTTTCAGAGCTTGAGACCAAATTTACTTGATTAATAAGTAGCTGAACGCCGTTTGAGATCGAGTCGGAAGTATGCATGCCACGACCATTTTCCCTCCACCAAATCGCAAAAACACCATACTTCCCAAACAATGTGTTAAAGTTGCAGTCTGAGAGTCGCCGACCAAATGATCAATGACATCAAGTTTCAGCATTTATTTTAGCTGTCAACAGCGTATTGCGCTTTCGACTACTTTCGACATTAAATTTCTTCTTTGTTTCTTGTTTAATTGTACGCTCATAATATGAAGTAAAATATTTTTCGGACCCGGGAACATGTAAATTAATAAATTTATTCAAGCTATTATTCAGATATTGTAACATTATTTTTTGTCAAATAAATAATTATATAAATTATAATATTTGATTGATCAAATATATATGAAACTATACAAACTAGGGAAATATTCAATCTCATATCAACAATGGTTAAATTTTAGCAACAATTGCAATTAAATATTTTTAGGCAATCATTTGCTTTCCTATCGGCACAAAGTATTTAAGCTACAGCTGATCATTATAAATATTGCGAATCTAATAAATATGTCAAGATAACTTGTAAATAGAAGAAATATTAAATTAGTTCTAAATAAGTAAATCAGTTGCTAGAGTAGCAAATTTGTATGACAATATGCTTATACATATTAAGAGTAAAAAGTGGACAAGTATATATGCATTGATATATTCATTCCATGCAATGTTTTGTCTTACCAACCTGGTCGTGTAAGTGTATTTTTTGATTTTTATTTTCTATTGTCGCGCCTTAAATAACAAACTACTCTTGTAACCACATTTTGAATTCAAATGTCCTCGTACAGATCATTTGTAACCTAAACCCATTTAAAATGAAGTAAAAATAATATTTTGTAGGCATTACGTAAGAGTAATTTTGTCCAGAGCTTGCTCGTAACTAACTTCTACTCTTTTCTATATGTTTCAGGTGCTCCGCAAGTGCTTCGTTTGCATCCCTCCATGCACACAGTATCCGTGAAGCGCGGTGAACCGGCCAGCCTCACGATGGTCGTCTGCGCCGATCCGCGACCGCAACGCGTTGCCTGGGAATGGGGTTCGCTACGTCTGGAGGCCGGTTCGGGTATAGGTGCGTATACTTAACGCAGTTCGCTTCATTGGGCAGCTAATGAAAATGCAATTAGATGCATTGTTTTTTTTCCATTTTCAATAAGCCCAAACTCAATTAACGCGGCGACGCATCAAACGCTTTGCACATCACGCACAGCCAAAAGGGATAGGGGGAATATTGTTTCCGTGTGCGTTGGTTGCCCTGCCGCACGGTTGAGTGCTCATTAACAAACCTTTTCGGCAAATTTGACATTGAACAAACGTCGAGCGTGCTACGTGTAGCTCAACAGGGGATACCGGGGGAGCGGGATTCAGACGTGCCGCACGCTGCACAAATCAAGACAAATTACATGTCCAGAGACGGCAGCTTCGACGCCAGAATCAGACGAATGCCACCATCATGTTGGGCTAGTGTGGTATTAGCATTGGCAGTGGGGCTTGGCCCAACACTATACATAGCCCCGTCCATTGCCGGCGCTCGAGCAGACTTCCCACGCTTGTCAGTTGCCGGTAATCCTGGCTCCACCAGACAACGACACAGCCAAGAACCATATGCTGCTCGTTTTTCACTTTAAACTGCATTGCGTAGCGTCTTTTGTGGGCCAGCTGCAGCCGTAGATCCATCTCCAGCTTCAGCTGGCAACAAATCTCGCGCATTACTCTTCATTTTCAGCTTGTCTGCGTGCGCATCCGGCTGCCGTTCCGTCCGGCTATCCATCAGTCCGGCAACCCGTCTGTCCGTCTGCCCGTTTCTCTGGCCATGCGTGTAATCCGCCGTACTTGCCACTGACAGGCATCATGCGAATCGCATTGCATGCTTAACCGCAGGCTGCGTGGCTGTTGCGTGGCAGCTTCTTGTTGCGCATACGACACGTTGGTTCGGTTCTTTAATTGTTCATATTTTGTATTATTTTTTACACTAATGCTAAGCTACGTATTTAGCAGAATTTAACGAAAAACTGATATCACTCACTGGCTTCCCCTCTCTAATTTTCCTTAGATCGCTTTCGTGCTGACGATATGCTGACGGATTCGCGCGAGGATTGCTACCTCTCTACGTTGCACATACACCACACTGATGAACACGACTCACGACCCTACTATCTTGTGGTGGAGAACGAGCGGGGCACCGATCGTCATGCCATTCATTTGATTGTGGAGGGTACGTTTGCAGGTGCATAGTGTTTTCTTTATTTTTCCTACCATTACAAATTTAGTTTACAAATACAGACAAGCACACTGAAACTACTTTTCTGCAAACAATTTATTGTATCGCGGAAGATAAAAAAGCGATTGTACATTAGAGATTTATTTATTATGTTAGTTTTTTTTTATACCATTCTTTATTCTTCAATTTGTAAAATGATCAATGCGATACCAATTAATTTCCATATTATTGCAATCTATCGATTCTATCAATTCTATATTTCTGCTGAATTCTTTAGAAGAAATACTAACAATTGTTTGCAGGGATGTTTTTCAACCATTTTGAATGGGCATCTGCAGGTGTATGCGACCCTGTGACACACTCATTGACAATTATTAATTACATTTCATTTCTGCACAATGCATGCCAAATAGCAGAACTCATTAAATATTTTTCCTGCGAACACCATATTAATTATTTTAATTAAAATCGAAACAAATATACAAATTAAAATTCCTTTTCGCCTGCAAAATCAACGCCATCGAATATCAACAACCAAAATAACAACAAAAACCTGAATAATTGACACAATTGCCGCGTTTGGCAACGCACAGAACCTTTGGAGATGAGCTACCTGCTGGGCGTGGCCGGAGGCTGTATGGCCGCCATTTTGATCCTGATATGCCTCTGCATCTACGCCGTCAAGAGCAAAAAATGTTGCTTCAAGGGTAAGTGGAATTATTACGTACATTGTTGTTGTGTGTCCAGCTCGAGGAAGCTGCTCATTAAAAATTAAAACTCAATTCGCTGCAGCAACAACAATGGCAACAGCAACAACAATTGCAACTGCTGCAACTGTGGGCAAACCGGGCGGCATATTAATTACACGGCCCTCAAAGCGAATACGCGTCCCAACAATTAAAGCATTTTCTTCATTATGCCACCAGATGGCGTTGAACTTTACGCTTATACTAATACTAATTGCAAAAACACAAAAAAAACTTGCGGCAAAAGCCGAATGAGAGAGAGAGTGAGATAGGAAAACAAAAACAGAAAATCCGCGCCTTTTATTTATTTTTTTTTTCTATTTTCTGTACTTTTTTCTTTTTGGTTTCTTTGAAACTCAAATAAATCTCATAAAATATTCATTAGCGCATTTTGCGCCGGCAACGCCTGCGGTTAGCTGGCCACAAGACAAAAGGGTTAAGGTCCTAAGCACAGCTTTTAGTTAAGAACAACATATTTTTTGTTTAGCCCACCCTTAAAATATTTCTGTACTTGTATGCGTCTGCTTAAAGTCGTTGAATTTTTGGGCTAAATGGACTCTGGACTGCTGCGGCTAATTAGAAATCAAAATCGCACCGCAAAACTTTTGCTCAGCGCGCAATTAAAATGCACATTTGTGAAAACAATTTACAAAGCAGCAAAAGAAAAACAATTTGGCAAAAAAAAAAAAACAAATAAAAGGAAAAAAAACAGAGGAGGAAAACTTTGCCAAAAAACTTGTTCAAGGACATGCATTCGAGAGTTTTATGGTTGGCTTCAAATGAATTTACGCTCAGGGATTTGCGCGGGCCGATTGCCTAGCTGAAAATACAGCTGTAAAACGTAAACTTGGAGTCGTAAATAAAGCCAAATCCCGAGTAGCCCTGCGCGTGCAATTTCTCAGTTGTCAATCAAAATGTCAATTTTCACACAGCGGCAGCAAACGTGAACATCTTGAGCAGCTGACGCCAATTGCCAAGTTATCAGATGCCATTTGACAGATCTCCAATTGCCCAAGCTACCCCTATCATCCCCTACACACATTCACATACACACAGTAGTGTGCAATTCCATCTAGTCGAAATCCATCAACATTTTTCCGCTCTTTTAGCTGCCTTTAGGCAACTTTACACCTTTTGGCCATCAATAAGCTTACGGTTCGTTTGTGAAAACGTAGCTGCAGATACAAAATGTATCTGTATCTGTACGTGCGTCCAGCCATCCATCTATCTAACTACGTCTGCCTGTCCTATCTATCTATAAGCGCGGATAGTACTAATTTTTAGTGGATGTATTTTAAAATTCACTCTACAATTTACATATCTATAATATATGGTGAAAGAAAGAATACTCATATATACATTATTTTTGCTCGCCTTTGCAGGTTCCACGGGCTATAAATCATCGGATAAGGACAGGTAAGTTGAAGCGAAGCATACATACACACACACACGCACACACACACTCCCACACACACACAACACAACAAATGGCCGGTTATGATACATTTTTATGGAAACGAGCATGCAACGCAACGCAACGCATCGAACAGTCAACAGGTGGCGCTGGCATGCCAATTTATGCGTCCCGCATGACACACTACTTATACACACACACACTCACCCACGTTCGCACACTCGCTTATACCCATGAATAATTTGCGCGTCGTGTTTGTGCGGTGTATGAAATATCCAGTGTTTTTCATATATTCAATATTGCAAAGTCGGCTTTTGAATATTTCTCTATTTTGCCGCCCAACGTCGAGCAGACACTCACACACACACACACGCCCCTTAACAATCGCTCATTGCCCCCCCCCTCATTTTGTTCTGACATGACTTATGAGGCTGTGGCGGTTATTTGGCTCGCCGCTATGCCGGCCCCTCGTTGTGTCTTGTTGCCACATTTAAAAATTACCATATTTTATTTATGGAACACACTCTCGGACAGTACACACCCACGCGCGCTCACACACACACACAAGCCAGAATGCGAAATTGCAAAGCATAGTTTTTGGGGCGCACCATTATGGCAACGCATTTCAGTGTGTGTGTATGTGTGTTGATATAGCGGAAATGGATTTTGAATTTCCGTTATAAGCATAGTTGGCAACACAACCATCATGGCCACATTTCAAACGGCATTACAAAACCGCCTAGAACTAGCCCCTAAAGCTAACAACCTAATTTCGAATATTTTGGTGTCCATCAAGGCGAAACGAAAGATATTGTCAAACGAAATCTCCTTCGAGGATGGGCTTTAATAACCCACGCCTGCCTCCGCATCAAGTCAACAATTGCCGCCAGGCATATGAAAAAGCTGTTTAGTTATGCGATTGGCATGAAATTCGCCAATCAAACTGCGGCAAATTAGAAAATAAAAAAAAATTCGGTTACCAGAAGATTAAATACTCTTGTCTTATATGTCTAAAAGAGTATCGTACGACTTACGACTTAGAACTCACTTTTCGAACGATTTCTAATCATACTCGTATTTAAAGTTTTGTAAAACAAAAGAGTTTTTATCCTTAAAAATCTGGCTATTCTTCGCATGGCAGCTATATATGGTCATACTTCGTGAAAGTAGCCCTAATATGAACGAAACCTTATTGCATAAAGAAAAACATGTTTAATCGATTCAACAACTGATATCTTCCTTAAAATGGTACACAGGTCGAGCAGACTTTTTATTAACCTATGCAAGCGCATAAGAATCTAGTCAATTTTCCTACATGCCCTATACAATTGTCACCCGGCCTTATTGCAAAAATTTTCGATAACAATTTCTTGTTTTCTCTTGTTTGATTTTTGCCCGCAGCGAAAAGGCTGATTTGAAATCACGCTCGGATAGCACAAGTGGCCCCCAAGGTGATTCAATTTACACAACGCCTGCCGGCTTCCATCATCACCAGCAACAACAGCAGCAACAACAACAGCAGCAGCAGCAACAGCAGCAACAACAGGCGGCCGCCGCGGCGGCAGCGGCATTGCACGCAGCCTCGCAGCATCCACAGCAACAGTATCCGGGACATGGATCGCCGGAGGCAATGAAGGTACGCATGGCTGCAATGATATTACAACCGCCCACTAGGGTCTAGCAGGCAGTTGATAACGAAAGCAACGAGCTTCAGTATCAACAACAGCAAGCTCAACAACAAATACAACAACATGAACATGAACATGAACATGAACATGATAATAGTAATGCCAACACTAACACCAACACAAACAACAACAACAACAACAATAATATTAATCCCACAACGACTGCGACTGCGACTGCAACACTGACCAATAGTAGTAACAATAATACAATAGAGTTTGCCAAAGCAACGCCCGCTGGCAACAGCAGCAATAGCAGTAACAGCAGCAACATTTTGGCTGAGGCCCTCGGCCGCAGCAACAGCTCACATAGCCTAAGCCTAGCCAGTACGCTAAATAGTAGCAAAAACAGTAGCAGAAATAGCAGCAGCAGAAGTTGCAGCAATAAACAGCAGCAGCAGCAACAGCAGCAGCAGCTGTTGCCCACGTGCGGGGAACTCGAGAACAACATGGACTGCGAGCTGAAGCCGCAGGCCAGCGGGAAGATACTCAACTTAAATGTGACCAGCGATGAACTAGTAGATAGTCCGATCGTAAGGTTAGACCATAGTTCAACAGCTGGTCAGCTGAGCGCTGAGGAGACTCAGCTGTTGCTGCAGAAGCTGAGCATCAACAATCCGTTCTATCGCTTTCGCAAGCAGAGCAACTCCCTCAGGGAGCTGCGGCGCATGCGTAAACGCGCGCGTCGCCAGCTGCGTCGCCACAGATCCGAGGCAGACCTCATGCCACACCCACAGCAACACCCACACAGTGAAGCCAAAGTTGTAGTTGTATTAGACAGTAAGCAGTATTTAACCTTAAGTAGTTCTAGGCAAGGTACGAGTAGCATTAAGACTAGATCCGTAAGCAGCCTGACGCCTGACAACTCCACGGTCATCACAAATCCGTTCAGCATCTTTCACGATGATGAGATACTCACCCTGGGCGTTAATCCTCGTTTGCGCAGCGCTAACAGCGCCACGGCCGCCATACGTTCAACGCGGCCGCAGCGCAGTGGTAAGGGCCTGCGCCGGCTCTTTGATAGACAGACAACTCCCACTCCAGCCAGTCAACAATATCTGCAAGGTGTGCCCGTGCGCCGCTTTGAGCGGCAGGACTTCAATCAGGATTCAAATCCGACGGGCAAACCAAAGCGCGCGAAGGCTATCTTCAAACAGCTTTCGCTGCGCAAGCTGCACAAAACAGAGGAACCGTCGGTGCTGCCCAAGCTAAAGCTTAGCTATCGTTATCCAAATCGCACGCAGAGCATACAGAGCATGCGCACCGCTGGCAGCGGCGGTTACGATATACAGCACACGGCCTACAGGCCACGACTGGTCTCTACGACACCAAAGTCCAACTACTTTGAGCGGCTGCAGGCAAAGACTAGGCTAGGCATACAAAAGATACGCGACAAGTGCCGCAACTTCAAAGCAAGCAGCAGCGACGCCAGCAGTACTGGCGGTGGCGGCAGCGAATTTAGTGGATTTCACACGCTCGCCAAGGATGAGAGCTTCCGCTTCATCAGCGATCGGGCGCACATCTCCAGTTACGAATCTCGATGCGCTGCCGCCCATGCCGCCGGCAAACAAGCAACCATCTACAAGAGCTACAAATCAGAAATAGATCTGAGCAAGAATCTCCACTACCTAGAACACTATCTGGAGCAGAACTTCGAGCAGCAGCTGAGCAGCAGCAAGCAATCCGCTCACTCTGTGGGCCGCATCAGTGGCGCCCAGCGCCGAGGTTTGGCTACCCCACAGGGCATAACAGAGACAGAGACGGAGACAGAGGCAGAGACCAAAACGGGCGGGGGCACGCCGCGGCGACGCCACAAGCGTAGCCAGTCGCAGGCCAACAGCCAGACAGTCGGCAGCATCAGATGTGGTTCCACGGCTAACTATGAAAATCTGGGCACACTGCCAATTTCGGCACGTGCAGCGGAACACAACAAGGCAGCCCTTCACTCAGACTCGCTGAGCAGTTCGGACTACGCCTCCGTATTCAGCGGGCCAACGGCTGCGAAACGGGAGACAGCACCGCAGGCTGAGAATAAAAATGATAATAGAATGGATGAGCAGGATGTGAGACAGCAGCAGGAGTCTGTGCTTAAATTACGCTACGAGCATCCGGACAAGATGTGTGAGTACTACTTTGATAATCTGACCAGCTATGCGCTGGCGCTGGAGGAGAGCGAGGACCTGCTGCTGGCCGAAAGCGCCAAATCAGCGCGTTTATTTTACGACGACGAGGACGACGACGATGAAGAGGATGTTGATGTTGATGTGGATGATGCACTGGCCACTAACGAGCCGGATTTTATGGCGCGCGACATTCGAATTCGCGTCAAAGTCAACGAGTGCGAGGATGCTGATTGGTACCAACACCGACAGCAGCAACAGCGGCAGCGGCAGCAGGCAACTTCGTATAATGAGAATCTTGCCGAGAGCACATTCTATCAATCGCTCAATCAGCATTTACAGCGACAGGCAATTGCAGTTGACGACAGGCACAAATCGGAGACGGCCTCGGCCTCGGTGGCATCCCTCGGTGGTGAAAGCTACTTGGCCCACTTTGAACGCAGCCGTAGCCGCAGCGATTTCGAGCGGATCGAGCGCAACAGCCTGCTGCGTCCAAATGAAGACCTAGAACAGTTTTACGCCCGCGGCGAATACTACGGATTCGGTGGCAGTACTGGCGGTGGCGGCGTCGGCAGCTCGGAGGTCGTGTATGCAACCAGGCAACGTCGCGCCGACCTCATGGAGGCGCATTACTCGCGCAGCTATCCGACAGCTGCGCTAACAGCAACAACTCCGCTTCAGTTGATGCCCAGCAGCGATGCGCTGCTCGACCAAGCAGACGGCAGCGGGCTGGCCAGCTACAAGCGCAGTTGCGCACTGCGCATTGCTGCAACGACAGCAACAGCTGCAACAACAACATCAGCTGCAACCACATTGTCCTCAACTAACATCAGCGAACTTACTTCGATGCGACCAACCAGTGATGTCCTCTATGCTACCAGCAGCAAGCAGCAGCAGTTTCAGTTGCACACAACCAAACCGGAGCCAGAAATTGCAACGGACACAACAGCAGCAGTAATGGCGCCTGCGGCTGCTGCTGGCCTGTCAGCTGGAAATGCAAACACCAATACGAGCGCAAATAATCGGTACATGTTGGAGAATTTGCGCAAATATTACGCAAATCAGCAGCAGCATCCGCCCGCACACTCTGTCAACTCGTCCTCGCTGTCCAACTCATCATCCTCGAACTCGTCCATGTCGCAGCAGCAAAAGCTGCATCTACCCACCGCACAGCCGCACAGCTCTAAACAGCAGCAGCAGCAGCTCCATTTAGGGCCACCGCGTCGCAATTCGAGCACTTCGAATGCCTCCTCGACAGCGGAAAACTTTGACAGCTTCATAGCGCTGCGCAATGCCACCACTAGCACGCCCACCACAGCGGACTACATGGCTAAACAGCAACTGCAGCCGCAACGTCGCAGCCACCATCAGGGCGCAGCAGGCAAGGCGCCGCTAATCTCGGCGCTAAACTATTACGGCCAGGGTCTGCCCAGCGGCAGCGGCAGCAACAGCAACGGCGGCAGCGTTCTCACCTACAATGGCAAATTATCTGCCACCGCAATGTTGTCACAAGTAAATTTGGCCAGATCTTCTGCGCTGCATCAGCAACATACCACGACACCAGCAACAACAGCAACAACAACGCCAACAGCATCCGCATCTGCGTCCGCAACCGAAAGCTTCATATTGGAATATGAGTGTTAGCGCACGATTAAATTACTATCGATCCATTGGGGGCAGCACCTCATCCTCCGCGTCCTCCGCTCCCTCAGGGTGGCTTACCTGTCGACAGCGAATCGGGAATTATTTCACCCGGCGTTTGTCCGTCCATCTGTCCTTATGTCCTCTGTGCCGTGGGTACATTTTATGCCATGCCCTGGATTTACGTTTGCCGAAATTACAATTACAAATTGTTAACGCAACTGATTGGATTAACGCCACCGCGACCACACCCCACACGCCAAGCCGCCTCATGCTGCATCCCAATGGACCAGCTTAAATGCGTACATGTGTGTATCTGATGCAGAGTCCCCAGGGCTAATGCTTGGAATAACTAATGAGAACACCCGATATATCTCTTGTAAGCACATAGAAAGCTCAGATTAACTGAAATATCTATCCTGTGCTGTAAATGTAAACTATATCTAAGGAATCGTAAGTGTTTATTTACTGCGGTTGATAAATGCAAAAGTACATGGACTTCATGGCATATACCCGTATGTATAGCTAGGTATACATTATCGTAAACTACTGACAATAATACCATTCAATTACCGATTACATTCATTAGCCAAGTTAATAGCATATATAAAAAATGTATTCGACATTGAAAGAAATGCATAAATCAAATTTATAGTTATATCATCAGAAAAAACAAGCATTATTCTCATACTCTTACTGCTACTACAATATACTTATATATACCAAATTTATTCTATAGAAACCGAATATCGAATTTTGACAAGCTAAACTCCAAGCTAACCGTTACAACTTTTGATATATATATATATATATATATATATATATATATAAGATGCGAATATGGATTGTTCTTAAAGCTGTTAAGTTTTTTAGCTTAGCCTAAAATATAATCTCAAACTAAAAGTTATCAAATAGCGAACAGAGATCTGCAGTGATTACAAAGAGCGCAATACGTAACTTTAAATAATTTCCGCATTTGTTTTGAGGTGTAGAAGGTACTTAACGTATTCGTACTTAACTAATTCCGACAAAAAGCTCGTACCACTGAAGAAAATGAGTATTAATTAGTTTGATTATTATTTTTGCTGAGTAGTACAGTGAATATCTTTATCTAGATATCTAAGTTTCAATACTAAACGTAAATTGTGAAGCATGCCTAAAAAATAAAACAAAAATTACTAAATTATAAATTTTTCCAAATGCAAAGCAATTACGTTTAATTGAAAACTTAAATATAAAAAATACTAATAAATAAGGAAAAAAGACATTAAAAAATGGCGAAAACAACAATTTGAGCTTCCACGTTGACAGAAAGGAAATTAAAACGGCTGCATTAAGAGACAGCAACTAAATTTACAACAGCAACAACAACAATGAGCGGCAAATGCACTGACAAAGCGCATAAAATATGAAAATCTGTAATTACGCTGAAAGCAAATAAAAAATAAGGGAAGAAGAAGCAGAGGCGCTTGCCAGCAACATATTAAATTTATTTATTTATTGCGGCAAAAGCGAATTACATAAAAGGATGCTTGTGGCTCAGCTGGCGTCGCGTATATACATATATAAATATATCAAAAATACAATATATATATTTATATATATATATATATATATATATATATATATATATATATATATATATATATATATATATATACATTCAAACATATTTACCAACTATTTATGTGACGTCAAAGTGTTTAACTTTTAAGTGAAACTGTAAATACAACTACAACTAATTGACATGCAACGAACGATAGGCGACAAAAGCGACACACTCATTAATTTCTCATTTATACACGCTGTCATACACTGCGAATGCGCAATATTTTCAATCATAACTTCAAAAAACCACAAATAAAAAATGTTGCATAAATATTTGTATGACGTTGCGCTGAAAACTGTTTCGCTGCTATTTGAATTTCCGCAGTTACATATTAAAATTATTGCGTATGTGGCATGTGCTCGTATTTTTAACCCTCCCTCCTCACAGTCTCTCCCTGGCCAGCTCTGCATTGCCACCTCGCCCATGCAATTATCTGTGTGCGCGCAATTTATCTCATTTGCGGCTGAGTTATTTCCAACTGCAGCAAATAGCACTTCCAGACGAGCCAGTGCCCCGTGCAGCAACGCCGGCCCTCCACAATTCCTCTCGTTTGTATTTGTGTTCCACATTTTCCTTTTTTTCTCTTTTTTTCCCCCCTGTTATTGTTGGACAGCCAACACACTTTTCCGCTTAATTTACTGGCTGGCAGCTGGCTTCGTGTTGGCCCCGAAAGAAGATGCCAGTGTGCCACAGTGGCACAGCACTGGCCGGTTGACAACAGCAATTGCTGCATAATGCATATGCCCGGGCACAGTTTGGACCATGTTGATCCTGGCTGGAAGCTCGATACGCGGATGCTGTTGCTGCGGTGTCTGCTGCAGCCGTTTCAATTGCTGCAACTGTGACAACAATAATAATTCATGGCATGCTTTATGGCTGGCCATCAACTTATCGGCAGTTGCTGCCACCCTTACCCACTCTGCCCTACCCCTTCCTCTCCAGCCAGTCTGCACATCAACAGCCAGCAAATAAATTAATGAAAGTCAAATTAAAATTTCTTTGATGCGGCAAATAGAGTTGGTTCAGTCTGCGCGTTATCAGCCATGCAACAGCGTGTGGCATAAGCCTTTCAATTGCAATACAAGAACAACTACAAAAACAACAACATTAACAGCAACTAAATTAAATAAGTAAACGCGTAAAGTTTCATGTTAAATTGATAGCAGTTAATTATGCGTTTGATTAAATAGGAAACAGTTTATCTAATTGAATTATTGAGCTTGAACGTTGAATTAAACAGTGTTTGGGTTGGGCAAAACGTCAAAAACAAGACTGCTTAAACATAAAAGTCAGTTAAAAATAAAAAAGACCAGTCAAGACGGGCAAAAACGCACTACTAACCACATAAACTCAAGACCGAATACTCTTATTAAATCAACTACAGAAGATATATTCCATATACATATATATATATATACGTTTTTCCCTCCCATTTTCTATGCCTAAGCGTGTGTTCGTGTTTACCATTTGTTAAGTATTTGCAACAATAACAACAACAACAACAGCAACAGGCAACCAAAAATTGCAGCCTCAGCTGCACCATTTACCATTTATTATTGTATAATTAAGTAAACGTATGATACTTAGTACTATTTTAACTTAGGACATCTTGCTGCATTCGACTCTATTATTTCAAGTGTGCTAATGTTTATTTAGTTTATGATCATTTACTATTAGTTCTTTATTAACACTAATTCAATGAGATTTACAATGGGTTGTGATAATAAACACACACACACACACACACACAAACACTCCTCACACACTCACACAACACACATACATTTGTAATAATCTCAGACACCAAATACACCGAATTGCCAACGGAATGTGTACCCCCAAAACTCTAAAAACTAAAAAAAAAAAAAAAAAAAAAAAAAACAAAACAAACAAAATATTAAGATAACAATATGTAAAACATCCAAATCAAAGCAAGTAACCAGTAATATCTGCATATATACTATATATAATATTTATCCGTAAATCGTAACCGATGTATGTGCTCCATGCATTTTGTGCATTCTCTTTGGTAACTCTCAAAACTCGACTCGTATGTACCTTGTGTTATTTTCCAGTTCTGAGATCTACAATTTGTCTTTTCCATTTTCTGTTTCTCTTTCTGTTTCTGTTACTATTTTTGTGTTTGTGTTTGATATCGTTGTTTCCACCGACTTTTCCTTTGACACTTGTGCTACTTTTTTGCATTACATTTTTACTGTGTCTAAGAAGCAACCGATACAGCAATCACGGAAATCCCCACGCTCACCCCACTTTTGTATTAAGCCCTACTATATTTAATCCCGACCCAGTTCCAGTTCGAAATATTTGTTGCCTGTTTTGCACGCGATTTGGGCGCGTGCTGCGCGCCTTCTTAACAGCTATCATTTTATACAACATCCAACATGCAACACACATATTTGTCGTTTGATTAACAACCTTCAACTTGTTTATAGACTTTTTTATTTGTCAAACTCTGCTATTTTTATTTGTTTATCGTGTATCCGAGTGTTGAGGCATGTATGTTTGTTATGTTTGCGTCATGCGTCAGATTTAGTTGCTCTTTATAGGCAAATACATGCAGGCCTATGTATGTATGTATTCTCATTTTATTGCCTTACATCATCATAAAGTTTAAAGTCGTCCTATGCCTTGTATTATCACTTGCTTAATATGCCTTCATAATAAATATAAATATTTTTTTCTTTTCTTTTTTTTTGTTTTATATATATCTGCTTGGCTTGTCTGTCTGGCTGCCTGCCTGTGTGTGTGTCTTTAAATTTCATAATTTTATTTTACGAGCCATCAAACTTCATGCAATTGTGTGTCGAATGGAACAGATTTTGCTGCATTCAATTAACCCCGTCAATGAATTGTAATTAATCCTTGAATAACTTACATTTGTCTTAATTTCAATTTTTGTTTGTTTGTGCAACAAGACTCATAAATAAATGCCAGACACGCACCAAAAAACTTGGCCAGTACATAAATCAAAACTTCAAGTTCTGTCTACTCAGCCCCGCCTTAACGCAGCAGTCAAAAGACTTTTGGCCAACATAGAAAACTTTATTGTCGCTCTTTGTTCTCTGGCTATCTCGTGCCATCCAATTAACATTGCGTGCAATTTGTAAAAGGATGAAATGAACAAAAGAAATTTCATTGCATCATTACACTATTTGGTACAAGCAAATCGTTGCATGCCACCTCCAACTTGCCACATTCTATGCACAAACTTAAGTCGACTTTCGGCACTCGGCATAAGTTGCTGGTTGTTGTCTAAAGCAAGCGTGAATGCAACAGCCTTTGCCGTATAATACATGGCCCACACTGCAGGCGCCACCTCACTTTAGTTGCATTGGTTTTCCCTGCTAATAACTTAAGCCAATTAATTGTTCTGAAGCGGCATACAGCTAAAAACAATGCACAAGTTTGGCAACTCAACTCAACTTGAAGTCGTGTGTTGTTGTGTATTGCATGTTGCATATTATATTAACTTTGTGTGCCCCCAATGCCAACCTGGGGCGATAACTCGACAAGTTCAACGGCATCCGCAGCATCTTACTATATTTTGGCCAAATTCACGCGGCAGGTATTTTATACATACTATGGCCAGCACATATGCACACTCACACTGACAGAACCGCAACCACTCGGCACACAGACCCCATCCACCACACACCCACACACTCACACACTCACAAAAGCACTTGCAAACTGTTAAGCGCACTTTTGAGTCCACCCGCTCGCTCATTTCTGTTGCAAGTTGGTTAACAAGCATTTTGGCCTGCTTTTTTTGTATTTTAAATTTGACATACTACTATATGCCATATGCGATGCATTAAAAATACCCATTTCACGCACTGTCAACTCGATAAATGTGCATTAATGCATTTAATGTGGCAGTGGTGAAAATTATAACTCTTAATAACGACCAATTAAAGCTGAATTCAGATAGCACTTAAATCAAAATGTAAAAAACTCTGCCAATAAATAGCCCAAACCAAGCGCGAACCACTTCGAAGTCCACTCAAACCACGAAACGAGATCGCAAACAAAACAAACGCAACGCATTGCAAACAATAACAAAAACAAACAAACAAACAGCAACAACAACAAACAATATATATAGCGCAATTATTAT